CAAGGAACACGGTGTGTAAGGTGCGCGTCGAGAGGAGAGCTGGTACGCATGAATAAATCAGATCAACTACCAATAGTTTTTTCACTTGCAGAAGGCTTTCGAGGTGAAAGTTAAAGCGATTTTAGGTCAAAGAACTTGTGTCGTTTCGTTTGGTAAGCATACAAGTATCGAGATTTTGCGCGATACCTCGAACCTCGAAAAGAGGTTCCGTGGAATCGAAGAGAAGTTTAAAAAAATCGCAAATTGCAATTAAAACCGAAGCCTGACAAATTCAGATTAAATTATCCCCGTCGTGTGCGGTAACAGCAGCAGCAGCAATTTCGTTTGCATGGTATTTCTCCATACTCACTCTTGCGGGGCGAGCGTGGAGAGCTGGGGCGGGATTTGCTGCGTTGGTTTCTCTGCTTCCGTGTTAATTATGGGGCCCTCGGGTGTTCGCAGGGCAGCCTCCATAGCCGCGGCCTCCTCCTCTTCGCGAAGCTCTTCGGACGCCTCCTCCGGAATCGTCGTGATGTCCTCGATCGGCGGCGGCAGTTCGTTTCCGTTCTCCTCGAGGTGGTTCCCCATCATCGGGTCAGAATTGTTGTCCCCCGGACGCGTCACCTCCTCGATGTCCGAGTCGATGCCCTGTTCGCGTAAACAGTTATCATAACAATTTTCCTTTTCCCCTCTGACGAATTTTTGTTCGCTAAAATGTTTGTACGAATCAACGTTGTAAATAAATTGCTATAGGTTGGTATTCGAATAAAATTTTGCCCATATTTTCACGAGATATTGTTTGTTGTAAGTTTCACGAGGTACACCGTTAAATTCGGTCCGCGCAGGAAAGGAAAAATATATAACGATCCGTTCGATCGTTGATTCTCGCAGGTTAGGAAGGGATGATTCGAGATCGAGCTAAAAGACTGTCGGGAAAATGAGTCGGCGAAACTTATTAATATAAATTTACCGTTCCCTTCGTGCGATAAAATTGATCTATCAGGGATTATCGACAGCATCGACGGGGGCTTAGTACCTGAGCAAAGTCCATGTAGAAGGAATCCCTGGAGTCGGAGCTGCCACGGCGGAGCCGAAGGCTGAGATCCGGTGAGCTTTCTCCCATCTTTCTTATCTCCTTTCTCGCTCCTCCGCGTACCTTCCTGTCGCCCTTCCTTCCTCTTCGATCTCTCCCTCGCGCCTCGCCTTCTTCACCCCTGTGACGCTACCAACCCCCTTTGTCTTTTACGAGCTTCTTGCTCCACGGTCGTAGAATTCTAAAGAGGGTGGCCCTGCACACACAATCCACCGAGTTTGCAGGCTGAAAGAATCGTCCTTGAATGACAGATCGTCGTCTCGTTCTATCGTCTTCCCTCTGTGCTACGCTCTTTCGCTATCTTTCTCTTTTTTCCCGTACCTTTCTCCGCCTCGCGCGACCATCAGAGAAACAGAGAACAAGAGTTCCTTCGTCGTCGGTGCGAAACAAAAATGTCCCCGCTGAAAGGAGAGTCGCCGAGTGGTCGTACGTGATACCGTGAATGCCGACTCCGGATCTCTGAATATCAAACTTCCGCGCGCGAATTAAAATTTCATCCCCTTTCGGCTACCGTGTTACTTTCGCCCTGTACAAGAGACTCGAGAACAAGGAGAAAACGGTGCGCGGTTGAAAGGAGACTCGTCCTGTTTCGAAACCAACGGGCCGCGAATGCGTTTCCCGTTTCCTTGGAAGAGTTCTCGAGCACTCGAGATCGTTCATCCACTACATCCACGCTCGAAAAATAGCCAGTTTTAATACTTGTCGGAAGGTACGATATAGTTATTTAGCGAACGTCTACTAACAAATTTTAATTTTCGTCATCTCTATATAGAATGTACGGATGCACGCCGGGTAGGCAAATATCCGATCGTCGGTTTCACGCGGGTAAGTTCTCGGTAGGTGTGATTATGAGGGGCTCCGATGGAGAAACGACTCCGTTACGTCGAAACTAATTACGGAAAGCTAGGAAATTCAATCGGGCCTCCAGTTTGTCTTCGAGTTAATTGCCTTAGCCGCGACTCCGACCGGCTGACTTTAATTAAAACTAGGAGACGACTCTCAGGAGGCGGCCCTGAGCTCCATAGAATCGAACGCGCGGAAAAATCTCTTTCCCGCGACTTAATTAAATCCGACGGCTCGAGAGGCGACGATCGACACCTTCTCGAAAAGACGTCGCGCTACTCGCCGAGACAGAGCTTACTTACCTACTTAAGGGCTTAGCTCTATAGTTTCCAAGTGTTCGAAGGAACTCGATGAAAAGTGAGTTTTCGATTTCGAGATACCGGAGACTTTCCCCCCCTTTTCGAATATAGTTGATTATCCGAGTACGAATTGGTACGTTTACATCGATAAGCGTAACGAGAAGATAACTCTCGGGGTAGGAAGCACGAGACCAACCACCCTCGACGGAAAGTTAACGACAAGCGAGGATACTTTACATGAAACTCGAGGGTTTTCGAAACACGAGAGCGTCGTACCACCTTCGTAGAATATTTATCTTCTCGCGAGCGATCCAGTCGAGGATCGGTGAAACGGCGCGCCGCATCGACATCGCCAGGACCTCGGTGTCCGACCGTCGATGAACATTCTTCCTGTTTGGGATCGCTCGGAACGCCATTGCGCGTCGGACCCTCCCGTTCCCCGGATGTTTTATGGCTCGCATACGTGCATATCTACATCGAAAGGCTCCCTGTGCACGTTACGGTAATACTACGGGACGGCAGGGAGATAACGCGGGATAAGATGCTATGTCTTTTCATCGGCCGAGCCAAGTCGGAAGTATTTTGGACTGATCGTTGTTGCGAATCTCTCGGGACGTTGCCGCCAACTTTTTTTCCTTGCTTTTATAATCTAACGCGAGCGTCCTACTTCGTCTCCCGTTTTATCTAGTAATAAATCGTCTCGCTAAAGAATAACTTTTCTAGGCATTCCGTTGTTCGAATAGGCAACCGCAACGATGCATCGCGTGAAATAATTCGAAGAACGCGTTGGGGGATCGATACGGCGATTCTATACCCGGCGATGCAAGTCGTGCAATCTTCCAGGAACAGTGGTCGTATTGTGCTTTTCCCAGGGACTCGCAACAACGATTTTCCGTCGGTCGTTTTGCGTGCCGGAAAACCCTGATACTTCCATCCGCGTTCATGCTCGCCGGTAGTTGGTTAGCTCTTCGCGTCGATACCCTGTTTTGATTGTACTTTGTTCGAAACACGGCACGAACAATGCAATTAGCGCGAGATCCCAGGGAGTTGGACGGCACAACAATGTATGAGCGCGCGAGCAGATCCTGCCGCGATATTTCGCGATATGTAAGCTATATTTTATCTATTTTCGTTCAATGTTTTTCTTACCGTATATTTAGTGTTCATACGTGCGGGTGTTGGTACTATCGCACAAGTATTTTATTTTGTTTCGATAGAAGAACGATGCCGGACCTTTTCAGGAGAGCTTAACGAATAGTAAAAGGAGGAATACAGTGCACGATACAAATCGCGGAACGTTGATATCGATATAACGACCGATGAGACATTAGTCGATGCAATCGAGTCGACAACTATTTTGTTCGACGGTGTATATTTGTATAGAATGTTAATAGTGATTTAAAAACGCACAAAGATTGACGAAGAAGATACGGAGAGAGGTGAATAGTGTATCCGTGGAATTACCTCGTTTTACTGTTTCCTGCGAACGGAAAGGCGCAAAAAAAAAGTCGTCGATGCGGTAGAAAGAAAGTTGCGAGAAAAGCAGAAAACAATGGGACATCGATTGGACATGGACGAAAGGGGGCAAATGAAAGAATCGACTTACGGGGTCTGAAGTTTGCACCGCCGGACGTTCTCCGCGCAGCGTATCCTTCGGCTCATCCCCCCGTGTCGCGGGCCGATTCGTTTTCACTTTCATCCAGCGGCTCGTAGTCCCTCCTGCCCTCCCTGGCGGACATCCGATCGCGGCACCGGAGCCGTCAGCTCACCTCTGGTATCCGGAACCTCCGCGGTTCCGTGCCCGTCCGCGAAACGGTTTCCAGCCACCGCACGAAACCACCCCACTCGCGACGGTAAACACACGCAGTCGGCAACGTGGCCAACTCACAGCATAGTTCCTCGCTGTCACTGAGATTCACGTGATTCTCAGAGTGCATTCACTAACGCGCGCGAATGCATGACGAGAATCGGGGGATGTTTTCCTCTTTCAATTAATCTTGCGGCCGCTCTCCCGACACGCACCGCCGCGGAACTTGTTGAGCGACCTTGCCGATGGAACGTATAATAATTCTCCGTTGAGAGTTCACGGGCGAGACGCTGCGATCAATCGTCGAGAGCCACCGAAACGAACCACCGGAGTGTCAGTTGGACACCCCCCGAAGGGCGCGCCACGCGAACCATCGACATCCTGCCAGAGCCGCCGGGCTGCTGCGATGTCCCGGGCGTCGCGACGGCAGCGCCTGCGACGCCGCCACCCGTCCAGCGTCGACGACGTCGAGCAGCTCGACCAGGGCCGTACCTATCTTTCCGCTTATCGAGTTTCTCGGCTCATAAGACACCCGTTATACCGTATACGCTATAAAATAATAATACGTTACTTGAACGCATCCGAATAAATTACAAACAAATTTTCCGGGTCGTAAAAAGCACTACACATTTACTTAAATCAGGTTTGCGTAGGGTTTCGCGCGGACTAGTCGGTCCATTGAAGAACGAAAAATGAATAGAGCATGCGCCCGATACTATTACGAGAAAAATAGTGCGCAGTTTGCACTGTACGAACTCTTTCACGTGGAAAAAATCTAATGCATTTAATGGCTCGGAACAGACTGGATACTCGATAAATTTCTGTGTTGATTTTATCTACATTGCAAATAAAACACTCTAGGCCGACGATACATTTTTCGATCTAAGGAAATCCTTTCGCGAGGGGAAAGAAATAAAATGAGTGAGTTTCACTTGTTGCACTCGAGAGTGACAACGAAAATGAATAATAAATCCATGCATTCGTGTAATATAATTATTTTATTTTATCGCTCTTTCATGGAACGTAATCGTATGATACAATGTACATACATGATTGACATTAAAATTATACTTCTCGTTTGGAACATATAAATGGTATCGACACCTTTCCGGTGATATAATAAAAATAATGTAAGTGTTATACATATTTATATCTATACATACTTCTTGTAAGGGTATTCGTATTATTCTTACATACGTATCGCAGGATCGAACATTATTTCTCGATCTCTTATACGCACGACGAACCAAGAAATAAAATCCGCATCGCGTCTTTTTTTCTATTTCCTTAAAAATATCCTTCCGCGCACAGCCCGACCATCGACCCATATTCAGATAATTTTTCATCACATTTCAGAGACGCTATATTCCGTCTGTACGTTGCGTACGTTTATTACTTTCCGACGCAATTTGGCCAAGTAAGACCTCCGCAAGACAAGGACACAATAACGAACGTCACAACCTATAAAATTTTAAAAGTCAGTTGCGTTTCGTGCGATTTGTTATTTCGTAAGGTACCACATTCGACGTCGTTACTTACGATTAGGATAGCACCGATAATTAAATAAATTTTAACGTTCTTCCAGAACAACGAACGAGCCAAGTTTCTACTGGTTTTCCTAAACGTAACGGACTGGAAAAACGCGTAACGATAAATGCTTCATCGCGACTGTAATTACATACGATAGCGAACTCGTACTTACGCTAGCAGTTAGATTTTCCGTTTTATGTACGAGAAGCTCTAATCGTTCGCCACGCGTAGTTAAACTATCGATGTTTTTCACCATTATATCAGTCAATTCGTCCAGTTCACCGTGAACTTTAGACAATAAGTCGATGTCCTTATTCGACTCGTCGTAATATTTCTAAACGACAAACGGATGCGGACGTGAAGAAATGCGGAACGTCTACGATCAAAAGAACCCATTTCTACTTACCATTTCGTTGGCTAAAATTCTACCAAATTCTGTGTTCATTGAGTATGCGAGAGCGGTTTGCGCACCCTCGCCGTAAATAGTCAGAAACCTTCTTTTAATTTCTGTAAGATACAAAAATGCCCTGGACTTTTGAAACTCCTTTAAAGCGAAAATAGTATCGAGTTTATACGTTGTACTCCAAATTGTAGTTTCTTGAAACTTTTCCAACTACTCACATCATCCGTGATACACATGTATATAATGTTATTCTCGCAGATGTAATGAAACAAATAAGATCCGTGCGAGTACGTTAACTTGTCATTTTGAGGAGGAATTCGAGCAAGAAATATCTCCGTGAATTCTTGAAAGTTTCCAGCACAGGTGGCATGTTTCACGAGTATCGTAGGCCCTCTGGCCACCACTGTATACAAAATTGGCATGGCGAACACTGAAACAGATGCAAAATATCAACTTAAATTTGTGCTTTTGTTTGTGTGAAAAATAGTGAGCACGATGTAATTAACCCAGAGAAATCTACCCTCCACATGATAATGTTATGTTTACAATTGAATCTTCTTATCTGCTATCGAACAGAACACTACCAAAAACAAGATATTGCTACAGCGAACAAGGGGTACAAATAATAGCGATAGTTATTGCTCAAACGACGAAACAATGTTTGAATTTATAAACAAAGACGGTCAAAGGAAACAATTTTCACGGATGATTCATAACACGTCATAGTTCCTAACCTTCAAACAATGGTCGACGCTTTGTACAATTTATCGCTTACGTTTGAGACATGAACACCGACAAAATATCATCAACTAATATGCATTTCAGTTTGTCCAAGTAAACAATCAAAAGTTCTTGCGACTTACCTCAACAAAATCAGATGACGTAAACAGAGAAATGATAATTTCTTCGTTTCGATGTTGTACGTATCTCTAAAATGGACACTGAACAGTCACCCTTTTGAAAACGTATCTGTGAACTGTTAACTGTCACTTTATAACAAAAGATTCAAGGGAATCAAAACACCTGTTCCGTGGTTTAACACATTCACAAAGTCACGACTTATGACTGCGTCGCTCGTATATGACATATGACAATCGCTGACTGTATTAATACTAGTGGCGCCATCGGTGGGAAAACGCCCAAGTTTATTGTGAAAATAGTTCCCATTGCTGTTGGTAGATGGCGTGTGTCTAGTACCCGTGGCGCCATCGGTGAGAAAATGGCCAAGCTCGTAGAGAAAATGGTTCCCACTGTTTCTACTAGATGGCGTCGATAACTATTGCTGCTTTAAATAACTATTTGTAAAAATGATAGTTAAAATAATATATTATATTGTTGTAAGGCAAAGAGTCGTGTTAATTATGCATTAATGAATAATTCATTAAAAGCTATCAATGGCGCCACCGTACAGAAACACTGGGAACTATTTTCACTACAAACTTGGCCGTTTTTCCACCGATGGCGCACACTTATTATTTAATTTAATTTTAATACCATTCGTGTGTCCATTAATTGCCTTCGATTGCATTGAAATAATGCAATGAAATTAAAGCATTTCGAGCGCAAAAGATTAAATTAATCAAAATTTTAATAAGAATTCTGGAAAGATATTCAATTCGAGTCGATACGAATGCACACTATACAGTAGGAGTAAAGATTACTAAACACGTTTTATCGTTCCTCAGTTATTTTTACATATCCATAAATCATAGAGATATGCAAAAATCTATATTCGAATGGTTCACCTTGCGTCAGCTTCTCTTTATCAGCATTTATTATAGTAAAATGTATTCCGATGTGTGTTGAAAAACTCGAAAATAGTAGGGATGCGCATGGCAATTGTCAAGTCGATGAATAGGGCGGCTAATAAATCAGTTTTAAGGGTTTAGAAGTTGCGTGAGGTTCGATGACTCCTCACACGTGATCGCGCCCTATCGAGTACACCGACTGTGCCTACCAGAACTGGGAAGGGAGATAGCAGAACGTAAGCGTGGATAGATAACGGTAAGTTCGTCGCGGCTCGCGAGGAAGAACACGGTCGCTCGATCTCGGGAAGCTCACATTGGTTTCAGTTCGGTGTCGACCGGCCTGTGTACCACCACCTCAGAGTCTCCTCCGACTATTGACCGCGTCCGTAAAATTGGTTCCTCTTTAAGGATTCCTGCAACTTTACCGATGATTCTGGGTAAGTATTCTACTTTATATAGTCAATATCGAATCAGTTCGAATCTTGCTTTCACCGGTATTGATTTTGTCTCGTCGCGACATGTCAGGGATCCCGGGATTCGTCGATTAAGGTTCAATTGGAAACCGTTGTGTCTTAACAACGATTAATATGAATCGAATGCGCCGCGTCAGAGTCGGTTTTTATTTCTTCTTCTTGGTACGTTGTGAACCGGTCAAGAGTAAACAATTGAGTGAAATTGCGACAAGCGTAGGGGCACGCAGGTCAATTGTAACGGAAAACTCGTGTTACCCTCGTAAGCTACGCATTTTATACGCCTACGTTTATATTTAATTTGCTGTTTATCGCTGGTCGAGGTCGTGGCACCAACCGTGCGAGATAGCATTCTACTATTTTTTCCGGTCATCCATCCTTAGGGAAACAATGTTGGATCGATTCCAGTGATAACTATATTTGAACAACGATACGTTCAATACTCTAGCATGAGATTAGCGCGTATCTCGTAAGTCATACTCGGCTCTCTCGTTAGCGTTAATTTGCATCGTTGTTTGCACGTTGGAGAGCGACGCCCGTGGTATTGATTCCACGCAAAGAGTGCGTTGTCACATCACGCCACGAGGCATTCAATGTCTTGAACGCTAGTGGAAGAGAAACAGATGTATCGGTAAATATCGGGTAAGACGGAATTGATGTGAATTCGCGATGACTTGCGATTAGAAGACCAAGTCTGAACGTTCTATATTCCAATAACATTATAAAATGGCTAGTCAACCTACATATGTACATAAGTCGTGACGCAGCGGGTAAAAAAAGAGTATAAGAAAAGGAGAAACAAAGAGCAATATTCTATGCACATTTTCGAAAGCGCACGAACCTCTTTAACCTACTTTCCCGCGACAGTATCGACGACACGAGACATTTTACTACGAACAAATTGTGCAAATCGTTCCGAGCACATTTGTTGTCATCGTGTTCCGTTACACCATGCTTGCTCCAATTTCTCCGGATTCAAAGGATGTCGGTGCCAGTTTCGATCATTCATAAAAACATTATTACGTTTCTTTTCACGGTAACAACATCGAGTTCTGTTCGATTATCACCGTGTTCGTCGACGTCCAATTTGCGTTTCCGGAATTCGTACCTCTATATCGAAGATGGTTGCTTTTCATTTACGACCATCAAAGGATAAGGCGTTCCACTTTGCATGCATATCTACATAGATAACGATGCCGCGCATATTTATACCTGACTTGACATTTCTTTCCGGGATTCGGCGATCTGATAACCATTCGCGAAACCAACGATAGATCCGAAGAACTCGAGAAAGGTTTACGCTCTAGTTGAAGCGAGTTTAGGTAGCGACGAAAGCGCCTGTTGTACACCGTTTAGGAACAAACGGGCTGTTTGGATGGAGAGCTGCATCGCGAAATAGCCGATCTGTTATTTAGAGGTGTACGTTCGATATCATATCTGAAATAAAAGTTTTCGGAAATTCGTAATAATTTCCTAAGAACGATCAATTTATATCCTACCGTTCGATCGTAATTCCAACCGAACGATCACGCAGCGGACCGATCCGCATGGTCGCTTAACCGTTGAGAATTAATCGGTGAACGTTTCACGAGCAGATAGAATGCGGCTGACGTACACGTCAGCGGCCGTCGTTGGCGCCGGGACGGTAGCCGTTTTCCTCTGGTGGTGGTGGACCAAGAGGCAGAAGGAAGCGTTACCCTCGCAATGGCGGAAGGTCGGCGAGCTCAGCGATCTGATCGCGTTTCCGGTGAAATCGCTCGGGTCCGTACGAATGACGTCGATGGATTGTATGCCACTGGGCTTGCAGTCCGGTTGGATGAGGGATCGGACTCTGTTGGTCATCGACCTCAACGGACACTTTGTCACCGCCAGACAAGTCCCAAAGATGGTCCAGGTAAGAAATTTTATCGTGCAAAAATTTCCCACGAATATGATCGTAGAAGCTGCGGAACTAGAACAAGTAATGCCGAGGGTTTCGGTTAGTTTTTAATTGTAGAATTTTAGCAAACGATTTCACTTTTGTATGTCGATATTTCGTCATCGCAGTACATAATAGTCCACGTTTACATAACACGAGTTTACACATCTTGTCTTGATTCGCAACGAAACAGCTAATCTAATCAGCGTAATTCTTACGAAGATGCTGTTTGTTTTTCTCTGTAAGAAAACGGGTGCACCGTTGCTCGAGATAACCAGAAGGACAAATCAATGTCCAGCTATTTTTAGATTTCGGTTCGCGCGCGGTCCTAGGAATCGAGTTTTCTAGATGCTTAGGTGAAGGCTTTGATTCATAGAACGCGAGACTTTTATAATCGAAATTAACGGACCGTTTTATCATCGTGAAAAGTCACGGAATTAATAGCCAGGCTAGGAAGCGAACGATTAATTCGTTTCGCGATGCGTTCTTCCTTCGTGGAACGCTCTTGTCTCTTTGTGGCGTTTCTGGCTCAATCTTTTACATAAAATTAGAAATGTTCATTATTTTTACGTTGGAAATTTCGGGTAATTCAATTGAACCTGCGTTACTTGATCGTTTTACATAGTACTAAACACGTATTGTTTGAGTCCAGGTGACACCCAGTTTCTCCGGATCAGTTCTCACGCTTTCCGCTCCGGGAATGATGTCCATGTCCCTCGATTTGTCACAAATCAAAGGTAAGGGATTCCGCGTGGCTGTTTGGGGTCAGGTCGTGGCAGCATGCGATTGCGGCGAAGAACCAGCAAGATGGTTGTCACGGTTTCTTCTTCAGGAAGATGTTGGCTACAGGCTGGTCTACTATCCATTGCAGTATCCGATGCGAGAAATCAGGAAGAAGAACAACGGATTCTTTTTAACCAAGAACGACACTGTAAGTTTCTCGTGTTCGTTTCGTTTCGTTTGCAAAATATACATGTATGGTTTTCTTGCACAGGGAGCCTATCCAGACGCCACCAGCTATTGCCTGATAAACGAAAGTTCGGTGATGGACCTGAATACTCGACTAGAAAAGTCGATAAATGCTGAACAGTTTCGTCCAAATTTCGTCATAAAAGGCGCCGCTCCGTACGAAGAGGATACTTGGGGCTGGGTGAAGATCGGCGATGTGATCTTCAAGAACGTTATGCCGTGCACCAGGTGTATCTTCACTACCATCGATCCGACGACGGGTGAAAAGAATCCTCAGACCGAACCCTTGAAAACTCTCAGAGCGTATGTCCTGAAATACAGTCTATCTTTCATCAACTCTGTTGCGTTTGTTATTTATTATCTTTACTCTGCTACTGTCTATCGTTTACTTTACAGTTACAGGCAAATAACGGATCCTAGTTTCCGGAAGTTCGTCGGCGACAGTCCAGTGTTGGGAATTCACCTTGGTCTTCGAAGTTCGAACGGTACCGTGCGATTGGGGGATCCAGTTTACGTGAGCGAGTCTACCGAACGACTGCCGCGGCCGTTGATCACGCCTCCCTAGCTACACCGGTGGGCTTCCTGCGAAGATGAAATACTCGTCTACGAGGAAGCCTGCGAATCGTCCAACACAGACTCTTTGCCTACCTAGTCGAGCAATAAGAATAAGTCGTAGAAAAAGCCTAATGGAAAATGAATTTTTCAATTTCGAATCGAGCAAGACAATGATCGCGATTCGTAAATGCGACAAATGCAATCGTGTCGGTGAGTGAATCGAAATAGAAGCTCGTGTTTTTCCGTTCGTGGACTCGATTAAACTCGCGTGTGTCGTTCACGTAACTTGGGACGCGAAGACGTGCGATATTTATACAACGATGGTGTTGTTGGTGTTTCTGTCAAATGTATTATGCTTACGAAGAGATTGCTTATTCGGAGAACAATTAGTCGCGAGGATCGTTCTTCGAATATATTTTTTCAAAATGTCGATCAAGGATTAAGAGGACGTTCGAAACGTTTTAGCGCATAGCGCAACCAACGTTTCGCCGTTTATATTTACAACGAGCATAATAATAATTATTGATTATCTATTGTAACAAACAGTTTCAGTGGTATGCAATTTCACGGGGTACATCGATCGTTATTCCTTGTTAGGTGATATGATAAATAGGTACTCTCGTTCTATGACAATAATATTTATTTATTTACACTACAAAACAACAGGGACGATTTACATAAGAGAGATAATGCGTTCAATTCGAGGATCAACACACTTGGACGGATATCGATCGACGATAGCCGTTCTCTTATTACACTTCCCTGTTTTCGGGAAGTTTAAAAAGGGAATGGTATCGTTACAAGTTCGAGTCGAATGCGACGAACCTTTGACCAACAATATATTACAAACGGTATGGCGAAGCATTATCGGTTTACTTCAAGTCTACAAAAGAGAACTTGAAGTTACGCCTGTTTCTGTACAAAGGACACGAAGGTTCATTAACTCAGCAGTTTCACCGCAATCGTAGCCGCGTTAGCAGCCCTTAGAGAAGCAACAGCCGAGGAAACAAGGGCTGCTAAATTAAAAGGAAACCTATATAGGTAGATCGTAAGAAGAAAAAACGAAAAGTCAATGCTTGGCACTATTGCATTCCGAGAAGAGCTATATACAAGTTCTCGCGAATCCCTTGTCAGCTTTACGCGATCCAACGAAAGGACGAGATGTCAAAGTCGAACGTCGACAGGAAGATACGTTTTGAATAGGGCTGCCGTGCAGTTTATGTCATCAATTTCGTATTTTAACCAAATATTTGTATCTAGTCGCGGGTAGATTTACGATTTCAAACACGTATCGAGTTCCATTTTGCAGCACATTCCTGCGACGGTCGTCGACTTTTGACCACGCGACTTATGTATCCGCTACATTTACACAGAAATTGGATAAGTTACAAAAAAGATTAGTTATAGAAATGAGAGACAGAAAAATAGTGGGGGAACGAATAGAGGGAGAAGTGTTGCAGAGACATCGGAGGACGAGAGACTGAGGGTAAAAGGTGACAGTAAAATAAGAACAGCGAAGCAGAAGAGAACAGAGAGAACGAGGAGACGGGATCGCGATCTGACTCGTGATTTCGATTGCAAAAGTAAAGTCGCGAGGTTGCGCTTTATTACGAGGACGATTCTACCATCGACGAATAACACTTCGGATCTCGGGGACAAGGGGGCAACGTGTTGGCTGGTTACGTTGCCAACGTCGTACCCGTGTTCCGCGACAGCTACGGCTCGGCGATGGCTCCAACGTGGCCCGATTAAATCAGGACCACCGAATCTTTTCTTGTACTTGCTCACCCTAGTCCTTTCGCACCGAGTTCTAGATGATGGAAGTGATCAGTCTCGCCTTGAAGTTTACGATGCGTTCGCTCGTTGCCGCTAAGCGCTACGAATCATAAAACGATTACAATTAGTTTCAATATTTCTTATTCGGACGACCAAAGTTTCACCGAATCGTGTGAAAAAACGAACACGCTGTTTCGTTTCGAACCACGAAACCGGAGTCTGTAGCGGAGTTTCCGACTTTTAGCGTCAATAGGAAGCAGAAGAATTCCGTGCGATGCGCGAAGCGTGAACGCTTTCCAACCAATGCGATAGCCGCTGCTTGCCAACGAACTTGCTCGGAGGTTGCGTATAATATAAACGCGACTATCATTATCAACGGCTAACTGTAAAACCACGCCTTATTTTTAGCCGCGTTAATATCTATTTGCGACAACATTTGTCAAGAAACAGGACAGTTTTTACGAAATCATATCGTGCGAGAATATCGTTGCATCAGTGTCAATTTCTTTGTCTACTAAATTTTATTTTCTCATTCCTCCGTAAAAAGCATTTTCGATACGAGTACTGTTTCGAGTAGTCGTAGAACACAGTTTGCAACACTTTACGCGAAACGCTACACATGCATTCGGTGAACGTGCTCAACGAGTATGTCGAAATTATCATGGCCGTGGTGTTTCACACGCAACATGCTCTCGGACACCGAGAGAATCAACGATCGTGTCAAGAGTATTCGGGTGGCCCGATTCGACGACCTGTCGTCCCTGGTCAAACGATCGCTGATCATCGCGAATCGAGTAGCTGGTCAGCCATGCCCCTGGCAATATCGCGTGCCAGGTGGCAGGTAGCAGCTGCTTGCATAAGTCAGCCAGCAAATGGACGAGCTATTTCATAGAGAAAGTCGCTTACATTTTTGCTTTCTATCGATTCTGACGGGGGCACTTGCGTAATTGGCCGGTTTTAATATCTAGAACGACAACACGGTGTGCTCGCTCGACTTTCGACGAAATCTCGACGCACGACATCGACGCGATAGATCGGTCAGCGTCGAATTCGAATCCGGTTTCGCGGATCTTGGACGAGATCACGTGATTCTTTTTACGTCTAGTTTTACTCAGCGATCGACTCGTTCTACGCTCGATTTCAAGTACAGAACTAGAGCACGATTCTAATCTCGCGACGGTCTCGAACAAATTGCTCTCGCCGTGATCGTGTACGATTCTATGCTGTCTGATGAGAGCGTTGCAAGAACGCATTGCGTTTACCTTGACGTAGAAAAAAAAGCCACGATTCTTTCTAGCTGTACATCGTTGCAAAATGAAACGCGAGTGCGTACCGCGATCTCGATAATAGTATCTATGTAAGTACTTTCGCTTTTGCACGCATCGATTACGTAAAACGATACAAAACGAAATGCCGCGACGAAAATTTCTGTTTCAAACTCGACCTGGAAAAGTACGATTTTCTCGACGGAAGGTGACTGAAGGTCCTTCTCCCTCTTGAACACGCACACGATTCTACCAAGTTTTTGCTCGTCACACGCTGATTGCTTGGAAAATTCTGCTCGAAACAGCGTTGTGTCGTAACCGTATAACGATTTCGACCCATCCTTTTCTCGTTCGTATCGTCTCTGTTTGGATAGGCATAATCGATTTCTAATCCGCAAAAGAGAAGGCGGGTTCGTATCTTTAAGAATAAACCTTCTATTCGCAAATTTTTATACTCGTCATGCAAAAGCGTGTATATCCGTGTAAAAACTGTTGGACTTTGTAATTATAGTCTAAACTACCGATAGACCGCGTTCCATGGCCTGATAAGTTCCACTTACTCGCAGTTTTTTAATCATTTTTGCTCTCGAATAGTCCTACCGTAGTATTCGTATCATTATTATTATTATTATTATCTCTTTTGTGCTGTTAACATTACTTACAAGGATAAGGTCTTGCAGGAGATTCGAGATCCCTCTGTTCGCGATGACGAAGAGCCTTGTGACCGGACCCGGGACCGCCTCTGGGGTTTCTTCCGCTTTACCGGCTATGCCTCCCGAGGAACTAGCTTGACTTCCGCTCCCTGCCACCAGCTGTAAACAATCAAACCCTTCGTTTAGTCAGACATCGACCAGGACGCAACGTCTGTTCTCGGGATGAGCACAAAAGAAGGTGGATGAAAGACACGTCGCCTAGATCGATGTTTGTCATTGATCGTTGCGCGAACGTTCTTTTATTTATTATACTACATAGTGGGAAGATAATTGCAGCGTGTAGCAGCTCCACGTCTAGCTCCAGCGCTCCCGACACTACGGTGCTTTTACATCCTGAATCCTACTTGCGGCTACGATCCATCGATCTTGCTGCTACGATCCTTACGTGCGCTCCTTCGGCTCGTGACATTGTTTCGGAAGATTTTACAGGGCGTCCGTATGCTTCGAAAAACATTGTTGAAAACTTGGAATCGGCGTTTACGCCAAGAAAAACGGGTTTGAGGTAATCGCGTAGTTGCTTCGTCGCGGTACGGACACCCCATAGGTGCAACAAAACTAGAAACATATTTACCAGGACCCAATAAAACGGTAAAATTACTGGTGAAAATTACAGGCGGCGTGACGCACACTCAACGATACTTACCGCTGATCGGTCCGTTAACGGAAGCGTACGTCACGCACCGTGCTGCGATTACTTTGCTACTAAATGTTTGTTGCCCGAAGGCAGACGATTCGGCTGCGAGATCTTTGCTCGAATATGTCTTGATTCGAACCAATTTTTAATATATTCTCGAACAAGTTACAATTTCTTCGTAGAGACGAAGCCGAGTCGTCTGACAGGACTTTGGCCTCGGTCCGTTCCAGCAGCAACGAGTTAACTACAGCTACGTCGCCAAAAAATATGGTGCAATGGACGAGTACGAGATCACAACAACGAGAGAATCGGCAATCGATCAATGGCTGCCCTGTGATTCCGAGTCGAATCGGCCGGGATGTCCAATCAGCCAGTTGCTTCTCCGAAAGTCTTTAGTCGGTGGTTGTCGGTGTCGCGTCGGGATCGTTGGCCGGGTGAAACGATCGGAAAGGTGTTTTGGAGAACTGAACGGATCTTTGGGAGGGGGGAAGCTGCTCTATACTTGTCGCGAAACGCGTACAGGTTACTTTTACGCGAAAACTGTTAGTGGGAAGACGCGACGATGATCGCTATTAACACAGATAAGGCTGAATTTTGTTTTGCTACATTTTAAAAATAGTTTATCACACGTAGATTAGACATAAACGGAAAAACGATATATTCAAACAATCGTTTCAAGACATGATTAATTCTAAATCCTTCTGGAAAGACATCAGCCGTAACTGGGATTAAACGATTCCGAGCGCACATGTTAGTGACAATAAC